TCGTGTTTCATGAACTGATTAGTCTTCGTTCGTTAGATTAGATTTGCATTGAAAGAAAAATATATACCAATTCTTTAGTTTGACATCAATTTCGCGGCTTTTTCATGGCCATTGATGTGTAAATCAATTTGAGTTTAAAGCTAACCGTTTAAGGTTCCTCAAGAAAGATTCTTTAAAAATATCAAATGATTTGACACCGGTCCCATGATCTTCCGTGCCGTGGTTTTACAATTTGCCTTGGGCGTAAACCTCACAGTATTCCGTAATTCAAATCAATGAAACAAAGATAGGAGAGCAACAAGGTAGAAACAAAATAAACACATGTTTAGCGCAGCCGCTCAGAAAATTATGAATAGTTTTTGAACGATTGCTAATGAGGCAAATGATGCAAACGAAATACGCATGAAGAAAATGTTGTTTCACCCGTCTACGAAGGCTGTAAGAGTTTCTTTAATGATGGTTTGCGATTAATTGAGAACACATCGTATTATCCAGGAAAGAGAATGCCTTAATCTTAAGTATGAAAATTAAATCGGTTACCTATGGGAAACATACCTCTGAAATCTATTTTACATTTCTCTTTTCCTTTGATAGAGTGATGCTTCGCTGTAAGGAAACAGGTTGAATATAATGGGTAGTAATTGCAATAAACAGCCTAGCTTCCCGCGAGGACCGAAAACGAGGAAATAACTTTGAAGGTGATTCTTTAATATTTCACTGCACATCATGTACTGGAAATAAAAACTAAAAAGTAATTAGGCGAGTAAGCGCGCGCACATTATTGTTTTTCAATCAATGGACCGGGTTAAGAGGTACGATGGTCTTCAGCTCTTGAACGAGCACGGTGACCTATATTTTTTTATTGCATAAATTTGGTGTACAAATTATCCCCTGTAAATTGGAGAAATTAAAACGGATCATTGAAGGGGAAAAAGATAGAGCTAAAAGCGTGCACGTGGCCCGTTACGTGAGCATGAAAACTAGGACCGTGAAAGCAACGACCTAAGGAACGTTTTAAGTCGATGTTCAGTAAAAGTGTGGTTTGCACAAAACATATCGAATTGTTCCGTACGTTCGAGACTTTTTACCCATCAAAATTTTTCTGGTGTTTCCGTAAAAAACTCTTGCCTCCAGCTGCCGCAAAATGCATCGTGAACCGATGAAATTACACGAGTTATTGGCTCACATCACTTGCAAACTCAATCAATCCATGCGGCATATAAAAATTATTTCCTCGTTTTAAAACGGTATTGAACAAATCCTTTTGCTTAATCTTATTGCTATTCATTTAATTCAACCTTATTCCTAAAAGTAAAAACTTTCATAATTTTCATAATTTTCTGAGCGGTTGCGCTCAACATGTATTCAAATCAGTTTACTTTCTAATTCCTGTATCCTGGCTTAGTGTAATGAGTCAAATTGCGAGGCGTTGTGCTGTAGAAGTAAAATTTAAACTTTCGAATGATTTAACGGACCATGAAAACGCAGTAATGCAAATACTTTCTTTAAGCCCATGGTGCCAAAGCACAATAGATGTCAAAGGATCATGAGTTGATATTTTCTCTTTTTAATACAAAATTTTATTTGACGGACGAAAACTAATGAGTTAAACGTGCATGAAACATTTATCTAGCCATGGAAAGCGAAATAATTTCCTGAAGTTAGAGCATGTTATGTGAAAAGGCAATCAAGACATTACTTGTTGTTGCCACAACTTCAATTGAATGGACTCTCTTGGGCTGAAACGATTCTTGACTTTTAAAAATTAATTTCACAGTATAAGTAAGATGGGATTAAAAATGGGTTTCAGTCACTTTTGGATTAAGATTTATTTATAGGCAGAGACTGACAGAAATTCATCTGATTAGGCGAACTTAAGCGTTTCCGATTCAGTTTTGTAATGTATTGTTGTCGTGCATATGTGGACTCTGTAGTCATTCCCAGGAGATGAAAAATTAAACCTGACTTTCTCCGTATTATGTAATGGTAAACGTCAGGTAGAAACGGTTGTTTAGTTGCATTAGGTTTCCAATGATACATGGCAAATTTTTCCCTGGATAGTTTTTCAAAGGCTACAAATATAACCAGTGAAGAAGGTGGCACAGCAGATGTCCTATTGGTGGTCAGTTATTTTATGACCATCGTCATCAACACCAGCACTTGTCCCTTAATAGTTCTCCTTAAAGTAATGATGATATAGCTTTGAAAACAAGATCACGAGTCCGAATCCAACAGCAACATCTCACTGTCCTGTCTAACGGTGTCTGACACATTAACTGGTCTCTTTGGCCAGCCGTCTTCGATTCTGTGGAGGATTTCCCCACTATTCGGTCTCAGTAACAGTGAAAAAGTTGAAAATTTCCATTTCCCGTATCTTACGGCACTGATGGTATTGGCGTCATGTGTTCATCTGATGCTGGTTACTTTCAAGAGACTCGTGCGCAGTAATTATATTTACCATTCAATACTCAAAAATTGTAACTTTTAGCCTCATGAAGAGAGCAACGTTAGTAGTTAAGTATTATCTTTCATTGTTTGGATTTTTAAAATGCTGAAAATTTACTCAGCTTTCCGATATACGTTAAATAACGGGCCTTGTCGTATTCATGTATCGTTTTCTTTGCTTTCTTTCATGCGATTTAATATTTGAAAATCATACATATGAACTGCGGGTTACGAAATGAATATGAAGGTAATCTTGGCAGTAAGTACATTACTTGAACAGCAGTGAAAATAGGGCCTGAAATAAACTCAGGCCTGTACGCGATGACTTCAGTGATACCGGTACAGCGCTCTACAACTGAGCTAATAGGCCAACTGGGAGCTGGTAATTATGTTGGTTTCAAATAAACCCGTGAAACGATGAATAAATGACTGTAAATATATGAAAACTATTCATACGAACTGCGCATTAAGAAACGATCATGAAAGCGATCTTCGTAGTAAGAACACTACTTGAGCAGTAGTGAAAATTTAGGTGTCTGGAAAAAAATCAGGCTTGAACTGGATTTGAACCCATGACCTCTGTGATGCCAGTGCAGCGCTCTGCCAACTGAGCTAACAAGCTCGCTTTCATATTCATATATTTACTATAATAATAATAATAATAATAATAATAATAATAATATTATTATATACTGCCTTTCGATTAGAAAGGCTACAAGCTAATGCTGTAGTAGCTGTCCAACTCAAACATTGCATGGCATTATTTGTGCTCCTTGACTTTCGAGCTAAAGAAAAGATGCAATTCCTAGACATTTATTCGCATTACTTGGCCTCAAAGCTTCAGGAAAAAACTAAACAACAAGAAATAACTTTGAGAAGACAAAAGGAGGTGGTTATTATCTTGAAAAAAATTAACAGTAACTAAATGTTTCCTTTCATGCGATTCAAACATAAAGTCGCATTCACTGTGTTGAAAACAGTCAACATCATTATCATCATTTTTATTTGCCTTTTTTAAGAATTATGTTCAATGGATTTTGATCAGTTATAAGGCGAAGAGACCTCAAGAAACCGCCCCTTATGGGAAGGCCACCTCACTAACAACAATACGTTGAAGCAATACCGCAAGTGTAGGCTTTGCCAATCAGTGATTATCTACGAAAACCGTATTGCACATGATTTTTGATTTAACGAGCAAGTGAGTGGTACAGCATATATTAGATTTGCATTGGAAGCAACATGACATATGATCCTCACGGCTCCGGTGTGCAATTCCATGAAAAGGCAATGTGAAAACTGACGTGTTTAGGGCCGGACATGAAAGCCGTTCAGCCCTGCACTCAAACGGCTTTGTTTCATAAACTTAAAGAAAAACTAAAAGAGTAAAAATTCGCGTTTTTTCGCTGAATTGTGAGTTTCTTGTCCGGACTCAAAAAAACCGAGGAAACGTTTTTACTGTTGAATCTTTTCATTGGTTGTCGTGCATGCGCCCGTTTATTTCTTCCTGTCTTGGGGGTGGTCATTTGACAAAATTCTTATTAACCGAGTTTCGTCAGGCCGGATGGGAAAGTACTTGGCTGTCAGTCACGAAGCAAGGATCTCGCTGCGCTCGGTCCGCAGGTCATAACCTCGAGCCAAATATTATCCCGTCCAGCCCTCCCACTCAGTTAATGATTACATATTATTTCATATCAATTTTTGTTTGATATTATTAACAATAGTCCAAGGGCTTACAGACAATTATATGCATCGCAAATTTTCTATTACCATCTATAGATAAATCTCTGTGAGTTTAAGGCTCACCGTTTTCGGTTCGTTTTAGGACTAACATTAGAAATTTCAATTAATTTGATATCGGTCTCAGTTTTAGTGTTTTGTTGAAAGCGAAAACACAGAAAATCAATGCATTGTTATTTTTTGAAAATTGATGCTTGTGATGCAAGCAAAATTTACATTAAGAAAACTTTGTTTTCCCGTTTTAAGAAGTTTGTTGGAATTTTTTTACGATTGACAACACTTTGGAATATCTAGTTAAGAGATATCTTCACTGTTCATGGTGGAAATTTGGTGTTTGTTTTACGATATGATGAGGACAATATTTGTTTGAGAGTACTTTCATTGAAGCTCACAAATTAACAATAACTCGTTAATTCATGCTAAGTTAACGGAACTATACATCAATTAGACTAAAATCACTTATTTTATCTATTTTCTCATTAATCATGGCGATATAACGATTTATAATAATTTGAGTGCGGTGAAAAGGTGATATTCCCTCAAACGACTCTTTTGAGTTTTTCTCCATATTTTAGCTTTCTCAAGTCCAACCAAACTTATTTCCAACAAAATCAACAACCTCATGAATTAAGAATTACCGTAATTCATGTGCACGAAAAAGGTAAGTGGAAACACACGCTAAAGTGAAGTTTTTCTAAAACAACCACTGGAAAAATGTGAGACCCAAGGTTTATTTTTCAATACTAGGCTTACGCTTACCTTTAGCGAAACACAAACAAAAAAGTTAGAAAATAACCCCTAGTTAATATTTAGAAACATTGAACAGAAAGAAAGCGTTTCCTTTAATTTGACAAAAAAATATTGCATCAAAAATAATTATTACTAATAACGTTTTAATTTTCCATGTGGCTGACAATCATCTATCGTGATCAAAAGCTTAATTGGCATTTATTATTATGCAGTTGCTGGAAAAGACGTAAGAAAAATTTTTACACGCGTAGTTATGAAGTTGTAATCCTTTCTTTACATTCCCATCCTTTATTGGATATCTACATTCACGACCTGGTTTCTTAGTCCAAAAATGACTTTTCTCATTTCTTTTTGTCTCCAGCAGTAAATTAGAGGATTAAAAAGCGAGTTTAACAAGGCACATGTTACCATCCATCGTACTTTGATGGGGCAAATCCCATAGACGCCTGTAACTGTTATGATAAAACAAAAACAAATTGGCAGAAGGCAAACAGTAGCAGCACCAACTATAAACACAGTTGTCTTAAGCGCCTTGTTCTCTTTGACAAACCTTTCTGCTACATCTTGGGGAAGTTGTTGAGTTTTCATCCTTTGTTGGTGCCGACGTGTCTCTCGATAGATGGTGAAGTAAGTGAAAAAAAGAAAAAGAATATTTGAAATAATGATAAGCGATGTTAAATAAAAGGATACTATGAAGATAGTCATTCTTAGAATCCCTTTGATTAAAGAAAGGATCCAAACTGATAGCACTGCTATCTTCATGTTATTATAAGTGACAATGTTTGAGTACTGCATCGTAAATTTGATGGATATGAGTCTCTCGAACGTAACTAACATCATATGAAAGAATGAAGCTGTTACCATTACAGCTACAAATGTGAAAAAGAAAAGTTCAACCGTGTCACTATTACTAAGACCGAATAATAGGAATATTCTCCACAGGATAAACAATGGCTGGCAAAGGAGACCAGTTAAGGCGTCAGTCACCGCTAAACAGGCTAGCAAGATGTTGCTTTTGGTTTGGAGTCGAGGCGTTGTTTTCACAGCTTTTATCACCAGCAGATTCAGCAGAACTGTGAAGGGAAAAGTGATGGTGTTGATAATGATTAAGATTATAGAACCAGCAACCAATAGGACATCTGCTTCTTTATCAGTCATGTTCGAAGTGTTTGTAAAACAAGCCAAAGATAAATTTGCCGTGTCGAATTGGAAGCTCAGTCCAAATGAACAAGGTGTCCTGGAAGAACTGTTTCTTCCCGAAGTTTAACCTCCCATGAAATCGGAGGAAGTTAAGTGCACTGGGAAATCTGACCCCTTATTTAACTACTGATTTAAGACTCTCGTGGGAAGGACTTCTTAGTCCACATGTGCACAACAATAATACAGAATAAAGCGGAATATGAAACACTAAACGCCGCCTTATCAAATTGATTCTCCTCAAGCTCTTTATTAATCTAAAATTAATGAAGGTCAATTTTTAATTAGACTTTCCAGGTATTGCCAAATACCTTTTTTTTTTACAAGTTCAAAGTCGTTTCGTTCCCTGAGAGCTTGATCAGAGTTATCGCCATAACCATAGAAAGCTTGATCGGCTCGTCTTCTAACTGAGGCAGGTGCATCTTTCCAATTGAAACTTAGCAAATCTTTACTTAACATCCCGGTGATGACCATTCTAATGCTTGGTCAAACGAGGATACTGCTGTTTGGCCTGGATTGGCTTCTAGTGGTTACGTCATAGACTCCACAAGCTTCCTGAAGAACACCCACGCCAATTGTGCCCTCGAAAACAAGTTATTGGTGTATGGTTGTATAAAATCCTGGAGTCTCTTAATATGGTCTGGATTGGCTACCGGTGGTCATACCATTGATTTCATTTCATGAAAAACCTCATCCTGACCCTTGAAAAGGAAACACTGTTTCCATGACTTTCATTAACGTGGCTTAAGCCAATAAAAATATTAACTCGGTCTTTTCAATAAGGAGGTTGCCCATGACATGAAAGCTGTGCTGAATCACATTTCATGAATACAAACACTTAAGTTTATCGGAGAGGCTTTCTCTCATCAGATTTTGCTTTCGCCGGTGACCACTGCGGACGATAAAAGCCAAAGTAGCGATATAAAGATCGATTGTTATCCATATGATTAATGCATTACACATAGGTAAACTCTCAGTTCAATATACCAGCCTAAATTAACCCAAAACCTGAAGGAAATTGCCAGTATTCGTGCGACCTTCTGAATCTTTTCCTATTCTTAAACCAATCTCGTTTATTCGTCCCATTTAACATTTTCTCTAGTTGCACCAAGCAAAAATTCTGTATTACTCAATAACATAAACAATATTATTGATTATGTAAATATAAACTATTGTAATTCATGCGCGAGAAAAAGTCAAGTGTGCACACATGAGGCGGATCGATCATAGCACTGAAAGATGCGGTAGACTTTCAAGGGCCAGTTGTTTTTTCATGTCGCACTAAACATTATCATTTTAACTATAGTTTCCAATAAAACTTTTGGTAAAATATTAAAACGCGCACGAGTTATTTACAAAAACGTATTTTGGAAGAGAATTCTTTTCCCGGCAAAGTGTGAATAGCCATTTATAACATGTCAATATTTATGACTACCGATAGGTTTCCTTTTGCGGCAAAACATCCTGATCCATAACTTCCAATCGTCTTAACGTCTCCTTATTTCGGCTGCAAGAGAAGATCTTTACTATCTGCGTTTAAAACTAGAATTTGAATAGAGAAACATAAAAAGGAGAAGAGTTCATTGGTGAAACTTAACAAGAAGTCTGGCTGTCAACACAAGATCTAAAGATATTCGACGCAGAAAGGCGTAAGAATCTCACCGAAACGGATACAGGCTCGTGGTTTGGGCAATCTTCGCTCCTCGCACTCGATCAGCAACTATTAAGTTTTGCGGCGGCGTGCCTAAGCCGCTTTCAGTTAAAAATGAAAAGAGTTGAAATCAAAATTACCGTTTAGCAGGATTAAAGGCCTGTCACTGGTAACTGTTTCAAAGCTACCCGTAAAGTGTTTTTTCTGAGTCTTCCGAGACTCTGCAGGACGCCTCTGTAGGCTACAGGCGGTCGAACTGCAAAGTAACCAATGCGAATATCGAAAAATCCCCACACGGCTTTGAAGACCAACCCCTTCGGATTGAGATCGTTCAGAAGTTTTATTTGTGCAGTTAGATTTGATATGCGATTAATTCACTCAAACAAACATCGTCCATTTCAAATTGTCGCGCGCCCCATTCGGTTTACGATTAGATCAAGCGAAAACGAAATAATTTCTTTTCGAATAGCACACTTCATATATTATAGTTTATCGTGGTTATGCTTCAAACAGCGCATTAAGTTATTTTTTCAGATGCGAAGAAAACCCGCTAAGGTCCAACAGTCGTATCCTGAACACATCGCTTGGGTTCAATACCTACATGCTGAAGCTAAAGCGGAAAACACTTGCAAAGGAAACGTGTTAAGTAAAACTGGAGGTAGATTCCCGTAAGTTAATTTGGCCTTCGCCTGTTAAAAGCGATGACCTTCGCGGTATATTCAAGGTACAATAGCAAGAGAAAAAATCGAATGAGTTATCCCAGGGATGTTTGTCATTGATGTCGGTTGGTACTTTGCTCACTATGCTGGTAATGCTCACTTTCCTAAATATTGGAGATGGCTGTTCGCAGTCGATGCCAACCACCTCCATATTCACCCGATGCAATTGTTACCATTGCTTCATGGTTTATAGTGTAATGTTTCACTTTGCTGTGGCAACAATTGTGATTGACCGAATAATCATCTGGGGGAAACTAAAATACTCAATTGGCCACAGGAGCGCAGAAGTCCGTCAATAATTTCCGGATAGTATAAATCTGCGGCAACTGAACTTCTAACAAACCAAGGGAAACTAAATTTGACTTGCCTTCACTCGTCTTAAATATTTCACAATTCTAGTTCAAATGTAGGTCAGCTTACTCAGGTTAAAATGAAAGCAACACGAAAAATACAGTGCAACATAATGCAAGTTCATTGTGTCATACGCTCAGCTATTTAGTTTGACATTCGGTGTACATATCAACTGTCTCAGTTGTAATAAGGACTATTCTTGAAAGTTCGGTAACGTAAAGAAGAGTAAATTAGTTAAATTAAATTAGATTTTCGGCCACGTCAAGAATAAAGCTAGATTCAGAGTCTAGTTATTGGCAATTTTACCAACCAGCGAGAACGATTACTAAATGTTTTAGCTTAAGATCGTAAAGTTGGTGCGATCACCTGATTCAGGAATCTCAGTTTTCGCCATCCATCGCTTGATAAAAAATCTGTTTTTTTTTCAAGTTGATAAGTTTTCGTTTGTTAGATTAGATTTTCATTGAAAGAAACATGGCATGCATCAATTTATCATACGTGACCCTCCAAGGGATTTCAGGGAATTAGGTGAACGCGCGCACACGGCACGCTGCAGGCTAAAACAAAAGAACTACCAGCTTTTAACACGTTAGCTGCGTGTTAGTTATTTCCCTTATTTACTTCGCAGCCATTGTCTTGCTTCGGACGGTAGAAACAAAGGAACGTGTTAAGATCTTGCTTGCAACTTTCCACGATATCATACGGTGACCTTGCCAATTTTATGACACGCCTCTTAAAGTTAAAGTTGCTTTCGATTTGTACATTGAAGTACGTCCTACTCTGAAAGACTTTTTAGCTCACCGATACGCCCAGCCGATACGATACTCAATATCCGGTGCAACTTTGGTGGCTAAATCGCTAAAAATAAAGGAATATCTCGACTTGTTGTCCATCATTTAAAACTATGTTTGAGTTTTTTTCTTCATTTTCGAATTTCGCATTTTCTTATAACAGCTTCCAAAACACGGGCCAAACGAGCAAAGCCCTCTGCATATGAAATCGTGCATGAACTTTTGAAGGTAGCAAGCGAAACCTTTTAAAAATAATAAGAGCGAACCTGCATGATGCATAGCAAATTACTACTTCGTTGAGGGTTAAGTGTGTTCTCGCCGTGTTTGTCTGTTCTGCTAGTCTCCGAGGCATTATTTAATCTATATTGTTAAATTTGTTAGCCCGTGTAATACATTGGTAGCGTTTGCGCTCTCTAAATCGGCGGTGCGGGGTTCGATTCCTGCTCACCACGGGAACGTCATCTTTTTTTTTTTTTTTCAGATCTGACGGAGTTTACAAAATAATTACATATCTAATATACTTTCTTTTATTAACTGACAGACTATTTGCCAAGTTTTAAGTGTAATAAATGCCTTTGACTGTCGTCAATTAACCTGATTGTAAATGCATTATTTTGGGCAGCTAAATGATTTTCTAGTCTGCGTTTTATACCATCTTTATTCTCTTCATAACTAGCAATATTTATATGCTAAGATTTGCCAAAATCAAACCAAGTTAGTACGCAGTTTTGTTGAACAATGGCTAAACTCTTTTCAAATAACCGACCCATTTAATAGAATAATAGTTTAATAGAAATGATAGACTAATTGTGCCATCTCAATATTTTCAAAACATGCCGATTTGTATA